GTATTAATACTATAAGTATTATTTGTTTAGCTTATTTCATAAAACATTTTATTTAATTGGCACATAAATAATGAATACATATAGCACTTCTTCCAGAAAGAAATAGGTGTAGACAAGGATAGCACTAGAGAAATGAGTTAGACAAGGAAAGGTATAGAAATAGACAAGGACAAAAAATTTAAAAAGTGAAACTAATGCCATCTCGCGTTTGGCGTCGCAAACTACGACTTTTTAATAGGAACACAGAATATAAACAGAGGTATTAGACAAGGAAAGCACTAGTGTGCGAGCAGAACAGAGAGAGAACGTTTCCTATTGGTCCGCTGGCCGCCATGCTTCACCTCCCACGGGCTAAATTAAGTCGGTCAGGGAAAAATCATTAATAACTCATTAATTAGGACGATTCTGTGAACTTTTAAGATTGAAGAATGTAGTGTGAACCTTTAGCAACTTTCACATATAGTTTTTAACGCAATAGACCCTTTCAATAATTAGTTATTAACAATTCTAGTACGTCATGTCGGGGCCGATACCATTTACGTTTATATACGTTTACTGTTTTTCAATAATTTCATAGCTTTCTGCTAAATTCTCGTGCAACTAACTATATGCGTTTGAAAGGTAACTCCTTTGGCTACACTCTCATATAATTTTTATTAACATATTCGGTTTAGTTTAGGAGTTATTTCAATAGAAATGCGAAACTAATTATGCACTTTCAAGTATGCAGAATGTAGAATGGACTTTTATCTACATTCTGCAATTAGTTTGGTAGTCGTAAGTTGTGTAGTTTATTAGATATTAATAATTATTTATAACAGTTGACTATCCACGAGTACGACAAATAGGGAACACTCCTATATAATGTTAATAACTCCTAAACTAAACCGAATATGTTAATAAAAATTATATGAGAATGTAGCCAAAGGAGTTACCTTTCAAACGCATATAGTTAGTTGCACGAGAATTTAGCAGAAAGCTATGAAATTATTGAAAAACAGTAAACGTATATAAACGTAAACGGTATCGGTCCCGACATGACGCTCTAGAATTGTTAATAACTAATTATTGAAAGGGTCTATTGCGTTAAAAACTATATGTGAAAGTTGCTAAAGGTTCACACTACATTCTTCAATCTTAAAAGTTCACAGAATCGTCCTAATTAATGAGTTATTAATGATTTTTCCCTGACCGACTTAATTTAGCCCGTGGGAGGTGAAGCATGGCGGCCAGCGGACCAATAGGAAACGTTCTCTCTCTGTCCTTCTCGCACACTAGTGCTTTCCTTGTCTAATACCCCTGTTTATATTGTGTTCCTATTAAAAAGTCGTAGTTCGCGACACCAAACGCGAGATGGCGTTACTTACACCTTTTTTTAAAAATTTGCTGTCCTTGTCTATCCCTATACCTTTCCTTGTCTTACTCATTTTATGTATTGCTATATAGCCTGGACAAGTTATCCTTCGTAGTAAGCACGACTAAATATGTATTTGTACTAGATTGCGTGAGTAGAAATGAATGGGAAACTCATTTTTTCAACTAATAAACAATTATTCTGAATAATTAATATTATTAATTATACTATTAACTATTCTGAATCGGTAACGTTAGAAGTGACACGAAAATGGTAAGGGAGCTCTAGAGCCCTTGTAATGTGGGACAAAAAGTGCATGGTGTGATACGTCTATTCTGTGTCTCATCTGCGACGATATATCTTTGTTTATGATGAAACAGAAGAGGTTTTCCTTATATCTACTGAATTTATCGACTTTGATGGTTGGATTGTATGTAATTCCTAAATTCATCGTTTTATATCATAAAGGGCATAACGAAAGCTCTGATATTTTACACGATCGGTATTTCAGATCGTTGGGCACAAAAATACAGTAGGTGTTTGGTCTATCCTATACCTCGTCTGTGGTTTTACTTTAAGCCGCTTTTCATTGGAGTTTGCGCTCTCGGGTTACGACTACCTGTCGTCAGATGTTGGCTTTGCGTCAATGGTAGGGAAGCTATTTTAATTTCGAATTTTGGATGACCCTGATGTACACTATTAAGTATAGGATATACATCAGTACTTCGTTTCAACAATTGAGTAACAAAATCAAAAATTTTCAAAAAAAAGAAAAATCATGTCGAAGGTAAGAGATTGTATTTTTTTTTTGCGTACGAAGCAAGGATGTGTATGATTACCATGTGTTACTAACCATGCAACACATTCAGTAATAATGTCTGGTAAATTTATGTAAAATATACTTTTTGCTTCAGGTTGATGTTTTATAGATATTTGATTACATTTTTTTCCCATCTACTACTTATTTGATTACTTTTTAAATATGTAAAATGTTGGCATTTATTTTAGATGAACGAACCACCAAAATATTATGGAAAAAGGAGGAGCATTGTTCGTAGAATTGGTTCAATGTTACCTTTAAAACCACCACCAAAAATATATGTTAGTGTTACGCCTTTACACTCAATGACAAGTTCTATGATTAATGAAGAAAGCAATGGTGATTGCACAGATATTAATGGATATGGGCCTGCAAGGTTTTTCTATATATTTGTTAAATCTCTTATTTATTAATTGGACAACTTATTAATTTAATATATTTTAATGCTAGGCTGTCTAATGTTAGACCAGATTTATTGGAGCCTATTAGTTTTGGATCTGAAGTTCGATTACTTGCTTTAGAACAGGAACTTCAAGAACTTAGGGAACAAGTTTCAGCAATAGTGAAAAATAATAAACAATCTAGATGTAGGTGTATATGAAACATTTATTTATTTCATTGTTTGTGTTTCACATTCATTTTAACTTAAATTTTGTTTAGATACATCTACTGCTTCTTTAGCAAATGGAACAGATAGTGAAAATACAACACAATTACAACAACCACCACCACCACGACCACCACCACCACCACCACTACCACTACCACTATTACCACTACCACCACCAACTCCTCATATTGCAAGAAGAGCAAGTTTGCAAGATCATAAAGTTGAAGAGCGTAAAAGAGGACCATTTGCTTCTCAAGCATCTATGATAGATGTATTCAAAGATATTGATAATGTTAAATTGAAGCCAATTGCTAGGTAAAAATACTTTATATATATTTTGCTATAGTTATTTATTGTAATGTATTATAAATTAGTTTAATGCACCAATTTCTTCAGGTCACCTGGAGGACGACCTCTTCGTGTAAGACGCGATAATAGTCCATGCAATGATTTACAAGAAATACTTAGAAGACGTTATGTTGCAATGAATTCAGCTGATAGTAAAAATTCAGTTAATTTGACAATAGATGACTCAAGTGATGCGTGAAAATAGTTTGAATCTTTTTCAATGTGCATTGTGTGTAATGAAGATATCATGTAATATTTTGGATGATATTAATAATAGGATAGCACATCCGATTAATCAATTTGGTTACAACATCAAGATAATGCAACATTCAGCATGCAATGAAGGGATTATGTAAGCAGCACAACAAATGTGACAAACATCTCTGAACCTGTCATTATTAGTTTTATATCACAAATTAATTTTCAAAAAGTAGTCACCTTTTTGAAAGAGTACCATTATTATTAAAATGTATAATATACAAATTAACCAAAGAACATATAATGATATTGATGAAAATATTGAGTTTTAAACTGGCAAAAGAAGTTAGATAAGATATTTTTAATTTTCATGAAAGGCAGTAGTAACTCCTCTTTTTTATGTAAACGCAAAGAATGTAGCATTTTGTTAAAGTTATGAAAGAAAAGTTATTAAAATGTATAAATTACATTACATATACTAAAAACTTATATTTTTTTACTAATTTAAGTAGCTATATAGTAAAAATAAATGTAAGTAAGCAATCTGGGTTTAAACTTAGGTTGGAATCTAAAGTTTGTTGTCCTATTTTTAAGAAGCTGTGGTCAACTATTTGCCATTCTATTTCTGTGCCATTACCTTTGTGTAACTACGCTAATTTAGAATTTTATTATCTTATAGAACATAGCAATAAGAGCAAAAATTTATTTAATATATTTTGAAAATTTTTTAA